TTGTCTTCGCATAATACTGTGGATTCGCTGGCCAGACACTATCAGCACTATCTTACTATGCCAGAGAACAAACCAGATTCCAGTTGAAGAGGAAATCAGGAAGAAGCAGTGGAAGGGGATAGGACACACACTACGAAAAGCACCAAACTGCGTCAAAAGACAAGCCCTCACTTGGAACCCTCAAGGCAAAAGGAACAGAGGTAGGCAAAGTAACAAATTAGGCCGAGAAATAGAGAAAGGTATGAGAAGAATGACCGAAAATTGGACAGAACTAGAGAGGGAAGCCCAGGACAGAGTTGGTTGGAGAAAACTGGTGGGCGGCCTATACTCCATTGGGGGTAACAGGCGTAAGTAAGTAAGTATATATATATATATATATATATATATATATATATATATATATATAATTGTCATCATGACTGTATTGTACAGGTTACGGTTACCCACTGAAAAGTCTGAGACCCATTTTAGACAAGATACTACTAGTAAGTATGATCGATGCATCATTTCAATAGAACTCAGCGATTTTCACAACTATATAATGAAGAACAAATAATTACCAGAAGGTAAGGGATATTCAAATTTTTAGTTATTATTCAGTAATCATTTTGAAGCTTACAAAATATAAATTAGATATTTAGTTTGTATACAATAAAAGTATGCACAATAATAGTAAAAAAGACAAACGGTCTTTAAAGTCCTAAATTCTGCAATATTTATTCCGTTTCAGCACAGAGCATCTTTAAAAACAATTCAGATCAATACGCATACCTAAATCAACGGTGTTTAAAAAATCAATATTTGTAGTAGTCCTGTGGAGAGTGACCTAACAGTTCAGTACGAGCTTGAGGTTATTAACCTTGAACTTATTTACTTAGTTACAATTGTTACCCCTAAAGGAGCTTAGACCAACGACCAGCATTCTCTTGCCTACTCTGACTTACACCTTCCTTTCCAGTTCTACCCAACTGTTGTTCATTCTTTTCACACCTGCTTTTCTCGATGATTGACTGCAGTATCTCATAAAATCAATCGTTATCGTCGTCCTAGTAATCGCTGATACTCGCATAGCGTTGAATAATAGTCATGGTAATTCCTTCTAACCCTAACTCCTAACTCTTCATTTATCAAATTCTCTTTAGACACTAGTTAGTGACTGGAAAAGTTGTCTCAATGTAACTTTGATTTTGTTCAAGATGTCGTCTATAAACTATACTCTCATCTAAATTTCTACTCATCATGATATTTCTGAAAAATGCATTTGTTTAACCATCGTTAATTTTCACATTCAATATTCAATTTATTTAAAACTATCAAGTCTAACCTTGACATTGCGACCTACAATGTAATTGAGTGAATTTTTCGCTCAACATTATGTTAGTTTATATACAGGGAAATATAAGTATTTATAGATACTGTGATTCTGGAAGGTTAGGGAGTAGCAGTATACCTCACTATCTAATTAAAGTTGTGAAACATGATTCAGCATTTTCCAGATGTTTCTGTGCAGGTCCCATTCAATTTTGATTGGATGAAACGTTTCCTTGAGTCTCTGGGATTCCGTAGACTTTTCCGATCAGTCAGTCTGGCAGTTAGTACGAACGTAGAACTTTGTATCTACGCACATCAGTTCAAGTTGTCAAACTACATAGTAGTAGAGGCGGTAGAATAATTATTCAATTAGTATAATTCAGTGGAATAAATTTAAAAAGTGGTAGATGAAAGTGATGAGGAATGCAAAAGACTAGAATTCGGGAGAACACGAAGAATGGATGCACCTGCGCCATTGCAAACAACTTTGAAACATATCATTCAAGGTCTATAACCATCGGTTACTATTGTCTCTTGAACGCCAACCAGGGGTAGTACACACCTACCACCATAGCTCAGTCCAGTTGTCAGTGACTTCATTTATTTGTTCCATGTTTTGGTTTGGCCGTCCCGAGCTTTCTTCCAGCCTAACCTTACATCACAAAACATCATTTCTCGTGGCAGCTGGTTGTTGGGCATACGTAAAACATGTCCCAGCCATCTCCACTGAATAAGATTCATTACTCCATCAATTCTTGACACTAGTATACAAGAGCGATGGTTTTAAGACATCTAGTAAACTAGGAATATCCTTTACTCTTACTGCCATGTTTCTCAGCTATAAAGTAGAACGGATGGAACTGCTGTTCAGTAAACCCGTCCTTTGGTGGGTAAATGGATATCTCATCTGAACTGTTCCGTGGGATATTTCGCGGCTTCCTAACACTTAGGTTGTGTTGCATTGATTTTCAAAACCAACCAATTTTCACACATTGATCAAATCCTCTGAATTTTGATTTCTTGCTGACAAAATTAACTCAATCAAGATGAAATTTGATTTGAATTATTATTGACTTTAATCAATTTTAACCAAAAAAAAACAGCGTTTTCATTCTCGGTTATGAATTTAACTAAAAAATTCTAATCATATCTGTCCTTTTTAAGTGGTTTTTGAAGAATTCATTAGTAAACAGAAGTTGCACTGCGAAACTTGTATTTTTTTCTGTAAACAAAGAGAAGTAACAGTCTTTTAAATAAGGTTTAGCTAATTTGTGTAGTGCGTTGCTATGCCAAAATTAAAATTAACTAAAGTATAAACTAATAATAATAGTAACATTAATAATACTGATTATTACTATTACCATAATTGTTACTTAGATTAGTGTAGATTTGTGAAACATAATTATCTTAGTGAAATCATGAATCGATCAATGTTAAACCAGCATTTGAAACTTGGAACTATTGGACTACCATATCAACAATGCGCAACCATGACCTCATAACCTGGAATCGAACTTAGGGTGGCCGATCTCAGACGCAATCACTTCATCTCTTGACCATCATTATTTATCTTTGGCGGTTACCTACCTCACACCTGATATGGTTGAGCTTCAATGGTCATATCTTTTTATTAGAACCTCGATGATTACCTTTTCAACTAATCACTAGTATATGAACGGCTGTTACTATTTTTGTGCATCTGTAAAGGTTATCATTTTTTGTGACAGGGGCATCAATACATACAATTGATGAATCCTATACTTGAAAGAAACGAAACTGGTATACATTAGTTTGTATACGAAAGTGCTAACCAATGCATCTATTGATTTGCGGTAGCTACTTACCAGCTTTAATTAATTATTTTGACAGTTTCACAAAAGATCAACTATCCTACAGCACAGCCAATGTATTATGTTTAGCCTTGATTTGACTTACCTAAAACATGTAACGATCAGTCAACAAGCCTCAGATATATTTTTTAACCATTCTAAAATTGATAAACGTTATTTTTGGGTAATTCATTCAGTCTGTGGATATTATTCGTCACAGATTGGTCACAGTTTATATGTTATAGGTTGTGGAGCTGTCATTGTACTTCAAAACAACGTGATCCCGACAAACTTCAAGCAAAAATGAACTATTTGAATTTCTGGAGGTATGACTCATAGTATATTGATTGACCGCACTTCTGATTGGTTGTTAGCAGTTTGTATACCATCGATTTGTCCCTCATTATGATTGTGTTACCCTTTGATATGATTCTTGGTTCTTGGCCAATAACCAAGTGGTTGATAAATTGAATCGATGTGTTCGATGTGTTTATGTACTGTTGAATTATCTGAGTGCGAAGTTTGTAAATATGTCCTAATGTTCTGAATATTCTCTCTCTTCCAAGCTTTCAACATTTTTCCAGTCGAATCTGTGTTTACGAGTGTCCATGTTAGGTGATTTATATTTATATATGTATTAGGCTTTTATCATAAACTTTCCTATGAAATCTCAGTCTCTAATATACTTGGCACGATCATATACCGAACAGTAAACTACGACACATTTACCAAATTAGAGTAATTCTCATCATAAACCTGATGAAATCAACCCCCAATCAGTTACATTATAGGAAAGATTTTCGAAAAATTTTGAACACTGTATCACAAATGTAGTTTATTGAATAACGACTTGACTTTTATTTATTATGTAACTGCTAGTAATCTGATTGAGCTTTAAGATGTGTTCCTAGAGTTCTAGTCAGATACCGTGACCATTGAAGGCCAATCTATGTCAAGTATGAGACAGTTATCCACCGAAGGTGATGGTTGGAGGTTGTGAGGGATCATGGGTTAATTGAAATTAACGATTATCACCGTTGAGTGTCAACTCAATAGTTTAGGTGTTAAAGCATTCGCTTGAATGGTAGTGGATGCGCACTGCCGAGTTGTCACCTACTAGAACGAAACGGCAATCGAATGCTTCCAGGCCCCTAGTAGTGGTCTAGTCAAGATCACTTGATAATTTTAACTGTGAAAATATTAGAATCTCCTCTTTGAATATCAAAATATATTTTCATTCACTTTCGTTGGATAATTTGTTTAGAGTGATTTATAAAATCAGACCAGAAATAATTTGACTTATAATTATCTCCATTTGGTAATCCTTTGGATTTTATCATCCTATACTTGATAAACAATAAATACTTTTAGTGTTATGTTTGCTTATACTACTTATATCATTAATAATAAGTAGTTAATTTGTTTGTCTATATGTGTGTATATGTTCGTTCGACTAATTGTTGACTAGTAAATAGGCACCTGTCATTCATCATTTCACATGACTTGGTATTTTAAAGTGCAGTGTTTTTTTTAATGTTTATTTCATAGAAAACACATAGATTATTACATTTCCATAAATATGTTGAGTTTTTGTTCAATACAGGTACTTATTTTTGATAGCCTCAGAAAGACCAAATGTTTGCATGTATCAATGTATTCTTCTACACATAAATAAGCACGTGTACCAACTAATCACATTTTCATATTCATGCATACATTTAAAAACAATTTTATTAGTGAACATTCACTTCTACATGTTCATTTATCATATTTTTATTCGATTGCTTATCTGTCAGTACATTCATGTGGTTTGCTTTGTTCTATTTGTTTTAATGCTGCAAAAACTACAAACTTCATCAGATCCTACGTTCACAAGATTCGTTATCATTGAATAAATATAGTTTGTCAACGCATAGACCAGAGGATACTTTCATAAAATACATCTCTATTGATAATAACAGTAGTCTTCACAATCATCATCATCATCATCAATCTGCTAGTCAAAAATATCAACGAGAATCATTGTTATTTCATAAAACCGATTTCAATCAATCTAAATCACAATTATCAAGTACTAATACTACGAATGATCATCATCATCATCAGCCCAATCTACATGAGTTCGATCCGAATGAGTTCAGTCATGAAAAGTCAAAATCAATAATCGTCACTACACTCACTAACTCTATTACTAGCACAACTACTACTACTACAACTGCTACTACTACTACTAGTATTTTGAATACTTCACTCGATACTACATTAGATCATTTGAAATTATATAAACAACAAAACGATCAATTCCAAACAAAACCTATTGCTCGACTTGTTCCACCTTTAATAGGACTCAATGAGATCAATGGTGTAAATGAATCACAAACATTACCGTATGATATCTGTATCAGTAATAATCATAGCAGTAGTAATAACAATAATAATAATCACACAGATAATGATGACAGTCTAAGTAATCCTAGCCAAAGTCAACGTGATCCATGCACAACTAATGAATTATCAATCAGTAATAATCATAATCATCATAATCATAATAATAATAATAATACTAATAACAGTACTAATCATCTCTTACAAGATTCCTTCATACAATCAAATTGTTGGCTACCAAAAGTTGCAATGAATTCAAATCGTGTAAAATGTGATGAAATTTTATCGACTAGTTGGAATTTATTAACTATGAAAAATTGGAAATCTGATCAAGAGTTAAAACGTAAAATGGGTTTATTCAATCATAAAATTAATGGTGGATTTTGGTTTCGTGAAAAATCTATCACTCATACAAAACCATTTGTTACTGGTCGACGACGAATGGAACATCAGTCACAGTCACAGTCACAACAACAGCAGCAGCAACCACAACAACAACATGGGCATCATCTTCATCAACTGCAATCTCAGCAACAACAGTCGAAAGGAATGACATTCAGTGCGATAGTGAATCATTGTCCATTATTGAACCAGTACTTACCATCTAATAAAGCAGTAAGTCAATGATTGATTTATTTATTGATGCTGTTCAATGAAGTGACAGATTGAAACATTGACCGATTTCAAAATATCTCAATAAGCTGTTAGTCATTAAAACTACCAGTGGTTGAATTTCAATTTTATTCAATAGGTATATTGCTGAAGAGTAGCTTGCAAGGATTTGACAGTTATTCATTGATAGATACCTCAACTAAGATCAATTGGTAATGAATATATTCTACAAAGGAAACCAATTTTCATGATATCTCTTTGTTAGAAAATGTTGGCAAATCAATTGTTAGGTCCCATACCAAGACAAAACGGGCGTCCACTGCTTCCATGTTTTTAATAGTGATAGTCCAACATTGATCGATTCACGATTTCAAGAAAAATACTTTCAACATCTCATCATTTACCATTTCAGGTTGAGTATTTCTTTTTAAAGAAATAACTAATGAGATGAATATGACAACAATTATCATGAGAAAGAGTAAACATTGAGAATTTCGCTCTGAAACACAATAGAAAGCGCCAAGTAGTCTTTACCGACTTACAGGAATGAGGCCGACAATCAATGACTCTTAATGAACTAAGACCACGTTTTAGTTTTAGTTACCGTTTGTGATAGCAAAGCCTGATTAACATATAATCTCAACTAGCTTAGTTTACGATTACATTAGAACAAATGATTGCATCAAAAATATTTAATATAACGCTAAACTTCACTTTCTTGACAGTAAATTTAACATTGTATGATTTTGCAGTTCATAAACTGGTAGGATTTTGGAGATTGATGAGCTTTATTGAAATTATGAATCGTTCAACCTTGTCAGGTGTTAAACAGGTAACCAACGAGGACAATAATTGTCAGTTTATTTAGTTGTGACAAACATGTCCAGTTATATATAAGTCTCTTAATGCCCTGATATGGTTGAGAGTTGACAAAATCAACTTGATCTCTCTCTTTCTACCAAAATGCTCTCATATAGTCATGCATATATAATCATTGCCAAGAAAATCCTACCCACTACCTTCTCATAGCACAGATGTTGTTTCTTAAACTAACAGGACGACAAGTAGGTGTTCGATAATGTGTTGAACCTGATCGGTTGGTACGAAGTATCCGCATAGATGAGTTGGGAATGCTTGATTCCAGATCATTGTTGCACAGTGACTTCTGAATCATGATTGAATGAAATTTTCGTTAGTGCATTGAGTTTGTGATTTTTGTTAAATTTCAAAGCTTAGATCAGTAAATGACGCAAATTAGATAACTTCTAAAACTTAGAAAGTATCGATAACTGTTTACGTCTGCTATAAGACTCTTCAATGCTACCTATTCATGATCATACTTTAAATTGAACCTTTAATCTTCAGATAACATGGAGAGAGCCTTAAACTTAGATTACTTAACTGGCATCGAACGATTGATCATAATGGAATAGTCGCACATTTAGTTAAAAACCTGTTTATAATTTTGACATTTTGTGTAACCAGGGTCAGTTAATGAAATGAATAATGAATGTTTTGTGTTTATCTAACTTAAAATCTATTTTTAAACATTTCCTATTTATTTTCGTCTTTGTTGTCAATAATATTACATTCACTGAAGTCATGGATCGACCAGTGTTACATCATCATAGGAAAATTATAAGCACTAGACTGAAGTTTCATCGTAGTACTGAACTCACTAGCAGTGCTCATCCATGGCTACATACAGCGATCGAACCCAAGACCTTCGGTCTTGCGTACCAACGCCTAACCCTCAAAAAACACATGGAATCTAATGATGGTAATGTCTAACGTCAATCAACCCACGCCGTTGTGCGACTTCATCCATTGTCTTCGGTAGATTGATTGATGTTAGACATTAACACCGTTGGATGCCTGCTCATTGGTGAAGAGATTAAGTGTTCGTGCTCAAGAATGATTCGATTACTGCATACAGGGATCGAGTATGTGCACTGCTGATGATTCCGATACTAGAACGAAAAGGCTTTCTAGTGCTTTCAGGTCTAACATGGTGAGGTTTATGATTTCAATGAATTTCAAATAATCTCCACAACTTCTACACTGTGACAAAATCATATTCATTCTTTATTTTTTTTCAAGTTACATTGTCAATATGAAACAATGCCAACGGAAGAAGTTGAAATATTTAGTTTACCTGAAGCAAAATCTAAATTTTCATTAGATAATTCATTGTCAAGTTCAAGATACAATAATGTTAGTCAAAATAATAATAATAATAATAATAATAATAATAATAATAATAAAGTAATTAAAATTACTAAATCCATATCACAATTGAAAAATGATACAAATGATGATTTGAATCAAACATCAAAATCGAAACTCACCAATTTGGATTTGAATTCAACATTGAATAATTCCAATGAAATGATGACATTGAATAAAAATCTACAAAATCTCACAACCAACGTGTCTGATGTGAAAAAACTACATTCAAGTGAATATAATAATTTAGTGAAAATTGAAAAAGCACCAATTCATTTGAATTCATCCAATGGAATTCATTTTCGACACAGTCATCATCGTGAACACCAACAACACCAGCAACAACAACAGCAGGACTATACATCACTGATAAATAATCATGAACACACATCGTCCTTATCACCATCATCATCGTCACCATCATCATCACCACGACGTCAACATAATAGTCATAATAATAAACAGAAAACTACTGTTCATGATTATGATAATGATGTGAAGAAATTAAAAACTATTTCCAATTGTGAAAACAATGTACATTTAATTAATCATGAATCGTGTACAGATAATAATGTTGTTGTCAATAATAAATCGATAGAAAGATCAATTCTAATTGAACCACATAAGCTGACTAATCAAAATAATGGAAAATATTCCACTAATTATCACCATTCAGAAGATGTTGAAACAATGTTGAAAACCAATGGGAAAATGAATATTCCAATGACTCCACATAGTAAGTAGAGAATATGTATTGTGTTTAAATTTGTTTAAATGTACTATGATTTGGGGATCAA